ATTGCAGTCAAAAGTGTGCTAAAGGGGGCGTTTTCAACCGTTTTTTTTTTGTCTTTGATCCCTTTAATGTAAAAAAATTCGTTTTCTGTTTCCTTCCCTAAATTTATTAAATTTCTTAGTACCGTTATTATAAAAGAAGCTTTCTACCGTAGCGTGTTTTTTTTTATCAATTTCAAAAGCATGCTTTATGNGGTTTTTATCACACGTTATGCCACTTCCTTTAAAGCCTTTTCCTTGTTTATGTTTCTTTATAGCATTTCAGTTCGCGGTTTTGTTTTTTTTTTTTATATTGCCACAGTTGTATTATTACATGCTTTAGAAAATGGAGGATCAGTTATAAATTTTCATTTTCTAAGTTAATACATTTTATTTTATTCATAATTTCACTTTTAGCTTACTGCAGTTATTAACGTTCTAGGTATGAGGGGCGTATGCATGTAGGTATAACTGTGTATTTGTTGTTCTAACTAGCTGCGATTATTAATCATTGCAGTCAAAAGTGTGCTAAAGGGGGCGTTTTCAACCGTTTTTTTTTGTCTTTGATCCTTTTAATGTAAAAAAATTCGTTTTCTGTTTCGTTCCCTAAATTTATTAAATTTCTTAGTACCGTTATTATAAAAGACCGTAGCGTGTTTTTTTTATCAATTTCAAAAGCATGCTTTATGTTTTTTTTTCATTAGCCTCCGCGAATGTCTTACATCTGCACATTAAGATTTTGTAGTAGGTATTTGCAAGTTAAACACGTTCCAGCGAACTTTCTGAAGTAAACGAATTGAATAGGAAAGTACTGAGATGCTAGCAGGCGTGTCGGACAACCAAAATAAGATGGTATAAACAATCTTTATTATGAACACATACCGACATATGTATTTTATTTGCATTATAAAAATAAAACTTAAAATGTTCGATATGAAATCATACGCTATAACAATAAAATGATAGAAAGGCCTCTAGGTGAGCCTTGGCTTCTTGCCATACTATGAGTAGCTCCATTTTAGAAAGTTGTGCTCGTTCTTTAATAAACATTGAACCCATTCATTAAGCTTGGTATGGTCTTATAGTTAAGTACATGTGCAAAAAAAAATTTTTTAATTAAGAGAACAAGTAATTAACTAATTCTGTGCTGCAACTATATATAATAATAAGATGCAGATTTTCATACACATGTAAATAAGAATATATGGGAAAATTTCAAATTAAAACGCACATTTGTGCCACTTACAATCTTCAATCTTCCCTAATAGCACTGCGAATGTATGCCAACCCACTACTAAATCGATTTATGTTAGCAACTAGCTCGAGCGCCTGTCAGACTGCCGCCAAACCAAAGGCCAATACCACCCCTTGGCGTGAAAGCCATTTTACGAGCATAAGGACACATCGCATTCACACATATTATCCTTGAATAGTAAAGAGATGGCAAAATGTTTCTTTTTTCTCGAAATTCACATAACCACACACTTAAATAACAACGTAAAGCACACCGAACGACCCAAAAATTGCAAAAATCCAGTAGGTTCTTCCCTCCAGCATTTGTGTGAGCATTTCCTCCCACCCACCACCTCTTTTGTGTAGAAAACACTTTCACATCGACAGTACTACACGGCGCGTGAGTGACTAGCGCAGTTCAAAGCGCTACGTCGTTGAATGTGTCGAAGTCGACACCTACGCCAACGCCGACGCTAACGCTAACGCTAACTGTGGCAGTGGCGCCGCAAAAATCAATGCCTGTCAGCTGCACCTGTGTCGGATTCACAAGTGCCAAAAGATGGCTTGAAATTAGGTATATTTGAAGTGTGGTTTTGGTTTAATTAAGCGCCGATATGCCAGCAAAAGTCCATTATTCACGAAATTGCCAACAAGACAAAATAATTTGGCAAATTTGGAGTTCAATTTTGGAGTTTGCTCCATCATAATGGCACCCCGTGTTGTACACATCTTTTATTTGAAGCAATTCAAAGCATTTTGAGGATGCTCTGCTCCAGTGTCCGATTTTAATGGTTATGTAGCTAGAGCCACGTACCAAACACACTTGCTCCATAGTCCATTTTTACATGCCAGCAAAGAGCTACGTACACACAAAAGTTGACCTATCAAAACGCGGTGAAATCGTTCTTATTCTACAATTTTCGTTTGCACATGAATTATTTCTTGTTTCTAAATTAATTTTTTCACTACAATTTCTTATTTGCAACGATATTTTTCTTTTCTTTACATTCTTGCTTTTACTGCTTGCTAATCCACTTTTGCACTCACTTTTTTATCTTCACCAACCAACTGGTTTCGGCTTTTGTACAGCGGGACAATTGGGTTTTTATTTCCGCCGAAAATTCTTCGCGCAGAACTCACGTAATTTTTGTTAGTTTGGAATTTATTTTTTCTCTCCAAATGCAATTGCAATTAATATTTTTTCTTCAGAAATCTGCGTGCGCTATGATTTTGCTCCTTCGATTTTTCCAGTCAACCGTTTGCAGAGAAAAAACTTTCTGGCTGTCGATTTTCATGCCTCTGGTGTCTTTGCTGTAAGAAAGTCGGAAAAATATCGATGCGTCTAAAATATCGATGTTTGCTTCGATGCCCTCGATGTTAAAATCGTCGATGCATCGCTGTGTCTTGAAACTAGTCCCAGAGAACGTTATTTAATATTTAACGTTTTCTGCTAGTTCATTGAACCATCCTTTGCGTTTTTCAGTTGTGCAAAAAAAAAGTGAGTTGGTCGACTGAACAATTTTTTTTAAAAGCTCTGGATTGTTGGTTTGTTATCCATCTCATACAAGCAAAATAAATTTCCTCGTGAAAATATAATATCGACCTCACTTTTCTATCAGATTATAACCATTTTTTCGCTTTCGTATCTTTATATTTTTTGTTTGTTAATAAGCTCATGTGATTTCCGTTTCGGTTTTGTTGTACTCTGCAAATTGTTACGGCGAAATTACTTATATATTTAAATTTATTTGAATAAATCGAAAGATATCGATGGGCATCGAATCAAAGAAATACGTCGATATATTTTTGCCACTGACTCCCCAAGTTCGCTGCTGCGTTCTCTGGCTGCTGCAGCTTCTAATTGGATTTCTGTTTTGTATGACATTTTGGTTGCTAGTGCTGCCACTTATTATACTGATGTCAAAGAAAATGTTTGTGTAGGGCCGAAGAACGTTGACTTTTGACTCATATATAAATTTATTGAATATTATCCAATTCTTAATTGATTCCTACTCTATTTTGGACTTTATTTAATTAATATTTACAATTGAAAGCTTTGAATGCAAACAATTTCTCGGAAGCAGCAACTCTGCAAAACAGCTGTTCACTTCTTCGAAAAGATAACAATTCATTCGAGCGTCGAAGATGAACTGTCAAAATGAGTGCTCGAATTCGTCGTGCAATCTGTGAGAAGGTGAGTAAATTAATTAGAATTTAACTTATTTTACTGAAAGTGACAACAAATTGTGATACATAGTTTCGTTTAAAAATTATCTCCACCTACAGATTTCACAGGCGACAGGACTTGGCCGCAATGTTTACCACGAATTGGAGGTACCTGCAAAAAGGCCAACAAACCCTGCTCTTTCAACACTCCACTGGACACCCACAGCCGGCAATACGACTGAAGAGTTGATTCAGTTAATACCTAGACTTGAATTCGATAAATCCATTGTTGAATCAGTGAAATTGCTGCCAGCTACTGGCAAAATTGCTGCCCGTGTGGAGTTTCAACTGCAAAGCCAACCTTTCGTAGAAACCTTGCTGCAACAAAATGTCGAACCTGCGACTAAGCCGGATGCCCATATTGTGTTTGAATTTAGTTCGCCTAACATAGCGAAGCCCTTTCATGTCGGTCACCTGCGTTCTACAATAATCGGCAATGCACTTGCTAATTTGCACCAGCACTTAGGTTACCAAGTGACGCGCCTAAACTATCTTGGTGATTGGGGTACCCAATTTGGTATGCTACATGTCGGCGTAAAAATGCTGGACATAACCGATGAGCAAATGCGTGCCAAACCCATTGAAACACTCTATAGCGCTTATGTAGCTGCCAATACTGCTGCCAAAACGGATGCTAGTATTGCAGACAAAGCTCGCGAATGCTTTGCACAGCTCGAGCTGGGCACTGATGCAGTAATGGCGCGGCAGTGGCAAAATTACCGTAACTACACAGTTGCCGAGTTGGAACAAATGTACGCGCGGTTAGGCGTGCGATACGATCAATACAATTGGGAGTCACAATATTCACAACGGCAAATCGGCGATGTTTTGGATTGTTTGCAACAGCGTGGGCTACTGCAAGACGAGGGAGATGGGCGCAAGGTGGTTTGTGTGGATGGCAGACGCATACCCGTGGTGAAAAGTGATGGATCCAGCTTATATTTAACACGCGATATTGCAGCTGTGCTGGATCGCTTTCGACGCTATAACTTTCAACGCATGTACTATGTGGTAGAAAATGGACAAGCAGATCATTTCAATGCGCTCTTTAAGACCACATCGGCACTCACCGCTGATATACCATTGGAACGGTTGATGCATGTGAAGTTCGGCCGTATTCATGGCATGAGTACGAGGAGTGGAAAAGTAGTCTTCCTGCGAGATGTGCTCGATGAGGCGCAAAACATAATGCTGGAGAAGCAGCTGAAAAGTGCTAGTAAGCTTAATAAAAAATAATTTCTAAAGTTCTTATTTTATTTTACTCCAAATAAAACCAATAATCTTCCATTAATTTTTAGCCACCAAAGTCGAACTAACCAATACATCTGGTGGCAACAAAAATATAGCCGATATCTTGGGTGTATCAGCGGTCATCATTAATGATTTAAAGCAGCGCAGACAACGCGACTATGACTTCAATTGGCAAAAGGCGTTGCAAGTGAATGGTGATACAGGCATCAAACTGCAATACACACATTGCCGGCTGCATAGCTTGTTGATGAATATGGCGCACATTAATGTTAGCGAATGTAAGGTAGATGTAGCACAGTTATCAGAACCTGAAGCGCAAGATCTACTCCACGAAATAGCGCGCTTCGAGCAGGCGGTGTGGTTAGCCAAACAACAACTAGAGGCATGTGTACTGGTCAATCATCTATTCGCGTTGTGGTGAGTATCTATTGTTGATATTCCAACAAAATATATGTAATATTATAAGTCTTTATTAATTCCAGTAACACCACAAGTCGTGCTCTAAAACATTTGAATATTAAGAATGAAGAGTGTCGCGAAAAACAGCAAAATCGATTGCTGCTCTTTAGCGCCGCCAAGCGCAACCTAAACACTGGCATGTGCATACTTGGATTGCGTCCACTAGATCAAATGTAGTTATTAACTAAACTTTAAACATATTTGTAATGCTTTTTTGGTTGTATATATTTTCATTTTGCACTACAATAGTTGATATACATAACTTACAACAAAAGTGTTTAACAAACATAAAATTGTTTTTGGTATAACGAAAAAGTACATCTTATTTGCTTATCTTTATAAGGCGTTTTTCTTAAATATGCAAAGCTGATAAGCTTTAACGCTTCTTCCAAGTGTACTTGCGGCGTGCACCCTCCTGTCCAAACTTCTTACGTTCACGGCGACGATAGTCACGTTGCAGCAGGCCCGCTTAATGTTTTAATTATAACAAAAAAACAAATTTGAATTGAGTCTAGTCGTTTATTGAAATAATGAATATTTACTTACCTAAACGCATCGATTCGACCATTTCTTGATCGACAAAACTACGCAAACTCATCGCTATGCCCCAACGAATAGCACCCGCCTGTCCAGATGGACCACCACCGGCCACATTAGCCTCGATGTCAACTTTACCAAGCATATCAGCGAAAACAAGCGGGAAGAGCACCTAAAAAAGATAGAAATATATATGTACATAACTAGATTGAGTAAAATATTTATTTTGTTTTATTTGAAAACTATTTTTAGTTTTAAACAATTTTTATTGAGCTTTTTAGTTGTACTTTTGTGATTGTATTTTAGCTCGGTGGAATAGTAAATAGCGAAAACTTGGAAGCAAAAATTGGAATGTTTAAATCGACGGCTCATTTATAAATTAATGTTAANTTGAAACTAATATTCCTTAACCTTATTTCTCATTTTGAACTGGGGGCGTAGTTTCATATGAATAAAAATCAGTATTTTTCACATAATTTAAAAACACCATAAATTACAAGCCTAACTCAAACGTTACAGATCACTATAGTATGTACTTCAATTATTTATGCAAATTCTGATGTGCGAAAGCAGCGAAAAATGGCTACTAGTGTAATAAGAACAAAAAAAATATATATTCAGCACTTTTAGTACTCGCCTTCATTAGTAGATTTTAGAACAAAAGTGGCTAGTCGCAACAATTAAAACAACAAAAGTGCGAAAAATTAAGACGCTAAAATGTCTAATTACATACATACATATGTATGCGCTAAGAGTAGAATAACGGACGGTTAGTCAGCTAAGTGTTGCAAACAAACTGCAAATTATCGACACTTGGCTGTTGGACCAAAAAAAAAAA